GTGATACAGGAGCACTTTTCACAGGGCACCAGGACAAGACTCTCCTCAGCTTTCTTTGACTTTCTGAGGTATATGCTACTGAGATTATGAATGTACAATTTGCCTATATTTCTGTGTGTGTCCATACAGAAGATCGATCAGAGCTAAAAGAGAGGAAGTGTGAATTTCTAAGAAAGGCTACGGGATGGGGACAAAAGTATAAGGAATAAAAGCTGTGAGATGTGGCGCCTCCAGGCAATTTCAATGTCTCTTATGCCGGCTTGAAGATGGCGCATGATGAACGTGAGGTTGCAAGGAGGCCCCTGCTTTGGACGACAGAAGACTGAGCAACAGAAGATTCACTGATGGGGAAGACGAGCCGAGTTGTGACCATCTCTGCTCTGACATGTCTGTCTCAGGTAAGGCACCTTGGATTTTGGTTTGGCCAGAAAGGAAAGCCAGCAGGGAATTAGAATTCAGATAGGGTTCTGTATTGTAAAATGTAGAAAGCATCTCTAAGTCATGCAGTGGAGAGAGATAGATGAATGAAATATCTGGCTGGGGTGTAGAACAAAAATTAATATTTTATCCCTTGAGGAAGAGGGCAAAGATAGCTCAGTTGGTTAGAATGTGGTGCTGATAACACCAGGGTTGCAGGTTTGATCCCTGTATGTCCCGGCTCCATATTCAGGTTTGATTAGATGACCCTCAGAGTCCCTTCCAATTCTATGATTTAAAAATGGAATGGATGTAGAGGAAAGAATAAAAGCCACTTTGACTTTTTCATCTCTTGAAGGTTCCTCAGGTGACACTGCAGGAGAGCTGTTCAGGCACTGACCAGTGAGTATGTTCATGGAATTAACCGCTTCTTGAAGTTGATTGAAATTTTGAGTGAAATTAAGTGAAATTTTGCCTCAGTTTTCAGGTGGAAGATTGAGAGAGGGGGAGACACAAACGCTTTGGCAATGGCCTCCATCATGGGTAGGCAAACGAAGGTCCGGGGGCCGGATCCGGCCCAATCACCTTCTAAATCCAACCCGCGGACGGTCCGGGAATCAGGGTGTTTTTACATGAGTAGAATGTTTCCTTTTATTTAAAATGCAGCTCTGGGTTATTTGTGGGGCATAGGAATTTGTTTATCACCCCCCCCATATAGTCCGGCCCCCCACAAGGTCTGAGGGACAGTGGACCGGCCCCCTGCTGGAAAAGTTTGCTGACCCCTGTAAGGAAAGCTTGGGTCCTCGAGAAAGTGTATTTAGTGGTGATACAAACGCCATCATTTCCTAACTGGTTTCATTGTACAGGGGGCTGCAACAGCCATTTTAAAGAGTCTGACCAGAAGTTACAGACTCGCAAGAAATTTTGGGGAACTTGGCATCCAACTTCCAACATCCAAAATAAGAGGGGGACCTGGGGGCCACCTATCTGAATCCCCTTCGGTAACAAGGCCATAGCTGTCAACTTTTCCCTTTTCTTGCAAGGAATCCTATTTGGAATAAGGGAATTTCCCTTAAAAAAAGGAAAACGTTGACAGCTATGAACAAGGCAGGGAAACGGATATTGTATGGAGTCACTTTGAACTTGTTGGTGTGGGTTTCCCTGTTTTCTTGTGTCAATTTCTCCTAAAGGGCCAGTTGCTATAGCCTAGTTTAACCATTTTTCATGGAATTGTGTTCAGATGTTTCCCAGTTTTTGGAAAACTTGAGTCACTCTGCCACTAAGAGTTTTGTCATTGTGGATTTGTAATATCTGGGAATTGCCATTCTTCCCCAGAAAATGGAGATGTATGCCAATGTTGGCTCTGGGGTGATATTGGGCTTGGTTACTTGCCCAGTTTGCAAATATTTTAAGCCAGAATCCCTGCACTTTCTCACAATCTCACCATAGGTGTGGGATTATCGGGGGGGGGGGGTATGTCACACCCTCTCCAGCAAAGTGAGCTTTCCAGAATTAGTCTTAATGTGAGTCCTAGACCACATGCTTCAAACGTGAATCCATGCTTGATGCACAGAGTCACAACTTTTGAAGGCCACTAGACTTCTTTGCCTCTTAGGGCCAGGTTTAGAGAGATCCTTAAATAATGTCAGTGAGCGCTGTGGAAATTGTGTGTGCAGAAGACGAGTTATGAGCTACTTGGAACCAGCTGAACGTAGTCTTGAAAGGAACAGTCTCACTTTAAAAGCTTATATTGCCCGCCTTCTTTCCAACAAGCATCTCATTGTCAGCCCTCTGTTATCACCCAGTAAATTTACTGTGTTTCTCTGCACTTGGGATGTTCAAAGAAAAGAAGTATTAGAGATGGCTGAGGCTTAAGATGTTTGAAGTAACTGTACAGATTACAAAACCAAATCATTTATTGATTTAATCTAATATATTCGTATCCTGCCTTTCTCCCAAGGTGGCCTTCAGCTAAATACAGGTGAAACTCAGAAAATTAGAATAATGTGGAAAAGTTCATTTATTTCAGTAATTCAACTTAAAAGGTGAAACTAATATATGAGATAGACTCATGACATGCAAAGCGAGATATGTCAAGCCTTTATTTGTTATAATTGTGATGATCATGGCGTACAGCTGATGAAAACCCCAAATTAGCAATCTCAGTAAATTAGAATATTCAATGAAATCAGCAAAACAAGGACTGCAAATAGAGCAATATTGGACCTCTGAGAAGTAGAAGCATGCATATGTACTCAGTACTTGGTTTGGGCCCCTTTTGCATCAATTACTGCCTCAATTAGTGCCATGAAACAGATGAATGTTAAGCATTGATCAAACAGTCTTGTCTCCTCTGATCACTTTAAATGCACATATGCTACTTAACAAATCTCAAGTAACCAAGCAAAGGGAAATAGGGGCGTTCATGGATGTGCAAACCTGGCTTTTATTTCTATGATATTAACATTTTCTTGAATCGCCAGTTCTCCCCAAAGCTGCTCAAGCCAAAACTGGGTCCATCTCTGGTACATCTGGTAAGTTTCTTTTTGGAAAAAAGATGTCGTAACTGTGTCAGTTGTGTGATGTTTGTGATGATGAATGATGCCACTAGCTGCACACTGTCCTGGAATGTGCATTGTGACAGCCTGGGGTTTCTGTGCAGTGCTGAGTTCTGTTTCCATTGAAGGCTAATTTTCACTGAAGACCCAAACCTGTGCTAGGGCTGGGCCACATCAATCAGCAGGTTGGGGCTTGTATCCAACTGATTTCTGCTCAGAGTAGAGCCACTGAAATTAATGGGCCTAAATGACCATTAATTTCAAAGAGATCCACTTTGAATAGGGCTAGAACACCTCTGTTTAAAATATTAACATACCCCAGCATAGAAAACTACCATTACAGAGAGATGACTAGCCATAATATTATCATTGTACTAGTTTTCTACATAGATGGATTGTTAATGCAGAGGACGTGTGATTCCTGTTAAGCCTGCAGATTAAAATGCTATGGTGCACATTCAGGTCTACTACCTCAGCCAGCAGCCCTAATATTATATCCCCCTGGATTCAGGGACTAGATGAGGAGGAAGTGTCCCCTTGCATCCAGTGTCCTTCCAAAATGATACAGTCGTACCTTGGTTCTTGAATTTAATCCGTTCCAGGAGTCCGTTTGACCCCCAAAATGGTTCAAAAACCAAGGTGCAGATTCTGATTGGCTGCAGGAGCTTCCTGCAGCCAATCGGAAGCTGCAGAAGCATCATCAGATGTTTGGCTTCCAAAAAACGTTCACAAACCGGAACACTCACTTCTGGGTTTGTGACATTCGGGAGTTGAGTTGTTCAACAACTAAGGCATTTGACTACCAGAATACCACTGTACTGGTAAATTAGAAATTCTTCATTGTTTGATGTCCTGCTTCTAAATTTTGCAAGACCAACATGCACATGTGGTTTACAGTAGGTTCCAACAGTAGTTCATATATTTTTTCTTCTCAGTTACCAGATCTGCACGTGTGCATTGATAAAACACCACACAGAAACAAAGTTCAAGAGTGCCTTTGGGTAGTGTTTTGTCATTCTAGATGTGGGGCAGGGGGAGTGGGGCAGGGAAGGCAAATCTAGTCGTACCTTGGATCTCAAACGCCCTGGCTTCCAAACAAATCGGCTCCCAAATGATCAAAACCCAGAAGTGAGTGTTCCAGTTTTCAAACGTTCTTTAGGAAGCCGATCATTTGATGGGGCTTCTGCAGCTTCTGATTGGCTACAGGGGATTCCTGCAGCCAATCAGAAGTTGTGCTTTGGTTTCCAAATGTTTTGGAAGTTGAACGGACTTCTGGAACGGATTCTGTTTGACTTCCAAGGTACAACTGTAAACTGAAGGAACAAATTGAATTACTCTGCTTCTGGAACAAACGGCAGACATAGGAACCAACTCCTGTGTACTCCAAAGTATTTGAGGGGGCCGAGCCCCTCAAAGGTTGATGGGCATTGCCAATCAAATGGTGAGTGTGCACCATCACAGCGAGAGAGACGCCAAAATGCCCAGCAGGCCAGGAATTTATCCTTGCTCTGGGCATGGGGCCAAGCCTCGCTATTGTCTAGTTGTTCCCGCGCCCAGGAGAACGCCCTCTAATTCTTTCCGCCATTGGCCAATTTGTTGGCAGGAGGACGATAGGACGATTCACAGAGCAGGCCCGGGGGGCCGCCGACAAAGCTGCCAACCCGAGAAGGGGCAAACAGACTTATTTTGGAACAAAAGGATGGCATGCTGGGAAATCTGCTCATCACTTGATTCATGATGTTTGGGTTCCTACACATGGGCTTAACCCGGGGGGGGGGGGACAGGGAGCAGCTTCCCCCCTAAATCAAGTAAATCAATGAAAATACTTAACTAACTGAGGTTCTGCCCCCCCAACATGAAGCCTGACCCCCCCCCCCCAACATAAAGCCTGGCTATGCTAAGGTTACCAGATTTTTTTCAAAGAATCCGGGGACACTTTTTCTAAAAATAAAAAAAAAAGAGGGGGAAAAGATATTTTTAAAAAGTTATTTTAAAAAATTAAGAAGTAATATCTTCTCTTCTGTGGTCTCCTCTGTCATGTGGTCTTCCTCTGGGCCCCGGCCTGCTGTCTTGGAGCGCTAGCCACCGTGGAGTAGGCTCGGGTCAGTCCTGGGCTCAGCCACGTGTCCTTGCCCTCCCGGTGCTCTCCTAACTCTTCTCCTGAGTGGCGGCAGCGGTGTGGCAAGGTCGGGCCTCCCCTCTTTTTTCTCCATCCTTTTTCTCTCTCTGCCTTCTCCTTTCCTCCTTCTCCCTGCGTCGGCTCCGGGGTTTTCCTGGCCCCAGAGCACTGCTGGGCAGTTGGCCGTGTGCTCTTGCCCCTGGCTCGATTTGGGTTGTGTGTTTGTGTGTCAGCAGTTCCCCCAGTTTACGCGCCGGGCGTCCCCGGTTCCCCCTCAGCAGTGGTGGCGGCAGTGGCAGTCTCAGCAACCCGGAGCCAGCCTGGTAGCGTAGTTGTCTCTGGCTGGCTTCAGGAGCTGCTCGCTGCCGTGGCGCCCGCCATTTTGTGTCGCTGGAAGTCCCCATATGATGTGCCTTGTGCCGTTGAACCAATCATGCAACATTCATCCCCTACGAATAAATCTACAACACTTAAAATATAAATCCGGGGACATTAAATGAAATCTGGGGACATTCCGGGGACGGATTTTGTCCAGGGACAGATTTGTCAATCCGGGGACTGTCCCCGGGAAACGGGGACATCTGGTAACCATAGGCCATGCCCATGTTCCTACTTAGTATGAGCAATAAACAGCAGTGGTTCTGACTCTCCCCTTCTTTCCCCCCACTTCTGGGCTTGTGGTTGTGATGGTTGGGCTCCTCCTCCTCTGTGGCCTCGTCTCTGTCTGTGTGAGGTACTGCTGCCTTCACTGCCACCCAGCCGGGGAAGACGACAACTCCCAGCCCTATGAAGTCACAGTCATCGCATTTGATCATGACAGCACTCTTCAAAGCACCATCACTTGTGAGTTGAGCAACCATACTAGTCCCATGATAGCTGCTTAAAATCTATAAAAGGTTCCTACTAGAGAAAAATGGCAGATCGAGTTAAAGGACTACAGTGGTACCTCGGGTTACAGACACTTCACGTTACAGACACTTCAGGTTACAGACTCCGCTAAGCCAGAAATAGTACCTCAAGTTAAGAACTTTGCTTCAGGATGAGAACAGAAATCGTGCTCCGGCGGCAGCGGAAGGCCCCATTGGCTAAAGTGGTACCTCAGGTTAAGAACAGTTTCAGATTAAGACCAGACCTCCACAACAAATTAAGTTCTTAACCCGAGGTACCACTGTATGCTGAAATGGCTAAAATGACCGGAAAGGTCAGAAATCAGGAAGACCGAAATTTTAATAAGGAATGGGGAGAATTTACAACTTATGTTAAAGACCATTGTAAACAGTTAAAATTGTTAGTAGAATTGGAATATCACTTGTTGTTGAAGGTTGATTCTGGACATAATGGAAGAGGTAAAAGGTTTGGAGTACAGTGGTTGGGGAGGTGGGGGGGAATGGGGGGAAATAATGAAGATGATGTGTTTTGATAATTTGTTATGTTGAAATTGTCAATAAAAATAAAAAACAACCCTCAGCTGCCAGGACTCCTTGCCCGTTGTGGGGACACCTGATTGCAACCCCTCAAAAATGAGCCATGGCCCCCCTGCCCCCTCCCACTACGTCTCTTCTATGTTATCTTGGACAATAAATTCTGCGTGCACTCTGTGTGCATTCTGCAGTGTGCATTCCTTTGGCGGAAACCCCCTCGACCATCGATCAATCACAGCATTAGGGTCATTCTTATCCTCGCTCATTCCTGATATTTAAGGTCCTGGAAGTAACCTGAAGAGTTGTGTGTTCTTCTCGTTTTCAGCCTTCCATTCGGTGTTTGGTCCAGCTGCTAGAAGAATGCTTGCAGTAGCTCATTCCCACAGCGTTCTCCCAGCCATACATTACCCTGCTGGGATGGAGACACCCCCCATTTACGAGGAGGCTGTGCACATGAGTAGATTCAGAGTGGCTAGAAGTGGAGAACCTGCCCCAGAGTCACAGCCGGAGGAGAAACAGTCGGTGGATGCCGAGAAAGGAGAACAAACAGATCAACCATCAAGCCAAGGCTCCTGAACCAGATCATCATCAAGTACTGCCAAGACTACTTCAAATTATGTTCCTTTGGTAGCTGTAGTGTTTTCTAATGCTACAATTCTCAAATTCCCCAGAGAGGCTTGGGAAACCCAGCCAGATGGGCAGGGTATAAATATTATATTATTATTATTATTATTGGCACGATGCATTAAATAAATTGCATACAACCTGTAGCAATGTGGCAATACATTGTATGCAAGAGCAGAGATTTTACACGCGTTTCCAAAGTTTGTATTTCTCTTGGACTCTTAAATCGATCACTAGCGCTGTAAAATATAACCTGGAAGCACAACACAAATGTTTGCAGTGAATTTCAGTTCATGATCTATGTTTAATCACTGACCATCCGTTGCTGCCTTGAGTTTTTGTGTGGTGTTTTCTTCTTAATGATGTCCATAATAGGTTGCCTGCCTTTGAGTCCTTAATCCTTAAACTATCACTAGTTATCATTACATGATTAATGAGAATGGTGATTAATTGAAGGAGGCCATTAAAGTATTTGAGTGGGGGAAATACTGTTTTGTTTTGTTTTTTTAAAAAAGATGTGAGTTAAGATGTGGTATGCGATTAATTCTTTGGGTCTCTTTTTCCATGCCTGAGGACCTGGGTGAAGCGTGATGGCTGAATTGCAAACTGTTAACGCTGCAGGAAGTAAACAAACCTGGGGTCTTTCCATTCCTTGATTCAGCCATCAAATTCAGTGCCAGGTGGCCTGATGGCAGATTAGAAAAGGGAGCTGAATAGTCACATACATCTGAGCCAGTGGTACTGGAAGCTGTTCTTTCTTGCAGCTAGGTTACATTTATTCCAACAAAAGCTTGTTGTTGTTTTTTCTGGCATGTACCTCCCTCCCTTTCCTCTGTCACAAACATGTTTCATCTACAGATTTGTGCTGGCATTGTAGTGAAGCCAGGACAGCACTCAAAACTTATGATCTAGCCTTGTCCTGTAGTACCATATTTTTTGCTCTATAAGACTCACTTTTTCCCTCCTAAAAAGTAAGGGGAAATGTGTGTGCGTCTTATGGAGCAAATGCAGGCTGAGCAGCTATCCCAGAAGCCAGAACAGCAAGAGGGATTGCTGCTTTCACTGCGCAGCAATCCCTCTTGCTGTTCTGGCTTCTCAGATTCAGAATATTTTTTTTCTTGTTTTCCTCCTCCAAAAACTAGGTGCATCTTGTGGTCTGGTGCATCTTATAGAGCAAAAAATACGGTAATTCAAATGTTGATGCTGTGCACCATTACTTCCTGGTGTCCTCTGCCTTGATGGAGGGCAATGAGATAGGTCCCTGCAAATCCTATTAGCTAAGCAGCTACAATCAAATACTGGAAGGATCGGACAGTCCCCCTGATTGCATTATGTTTGGGAGACCTTTTTTCTTTTGCAGCAAAAGAAAAGGCCACCTTTAGCTGGAAGCACAAAGAACATAAAACACCCTGAGACTGGGACTCCTATTTAGAGTTCCGCATGATCTATATGCCAAATGGGTTCTGCTGGAGTCTATCTTTTTTCCATCTGACCTCTTCTCTCCCTTCCCACCCCCCACCCCCCACCCCATATTGCTCTTGGGTGGAATCTACACACATATAAAAACCGTTCTGAAAGTATTTTATTTTATTTTTTAAAAAAAGCATTTTGAAAAATACGTTGAATTTTCCATGAGGCTCACCATTGCCATCTAGTGTCACATTGTATATTGCACTTAAAACACACAACACAATTAAAATGTTTTATTTGCAGCTGAAGAGCTGAGTCCTTGTTTATGAATATATCAATCTGACTTTGTATAGCACTAACCCATCCAAGAAAACAGACTTGCTTTGCTGGTATCTTTCCTACTGTTTTTTTTTTGTTTTTTTGTTTTGTTTTTGTTTCTTGTTTGTACTGCTATAAAATACTTTAAATCAATAAACTATTGTAGAAGCTATTAATAAATAACATAAATATGATGCCAGTATCTGTGCCATTTGCTAATTTAATGAGTTTAAGCTAAATCAACTGGTTATGGAATTATTTGTCCAATTTTTGAACTGGAAACAGATTTTATTCGCCAGCACTAATTTTGTTTTGTGTGTGCTGTTATTATAATTGGTCGATCTACACTTCATTGCACTTATTAGTTGTGCCAAAACAAATTCTGGAAAATTCAGCTTGTGTTACCTGGAGTGTTGGAAATGCCATTTAAATCAGTCAAAGCTGTTTAACTTGCTTTGTGGCTGGCGCGTGCCTGGCAATCATTCAGACATAGATAAACCTACAAGACCTTACACAGATTGTGCTGTACAAATGTTTCGAAGTTGACAATTGCCAAGAAGACATTCACAACACCAGGGCCTCCTAAGGGAAGGAGAAACCAGACACTTGATTTGCAACTACATTACACGTAATTTGGATGTCATGACGGAAAGATCAAATGCTCAATCTTCTGGTAGCGCCACTATTTCCTCAGACTACGGCTCCCATTCTTCGTCATTGGTCAGTCAGTCAGCTTTATTGCACATAGCCAAAGGCTGCCGCAATGTACGCAGAATCATTCAACAATTAAAAGAAAATATTCTGGATTGATACAAAAAAACTTAAAACATTTATATTATCAAGGCATTGCCTACTCTAAACAGAGCTATAAAAGTACCTTAATATACAACTTAAGACATTAAACAATAAAATTTATAAGCTAAAATTATCACATGGCCACTAATATATTAAAAAATAATGTTAATTAATACAATGTGCAATTATATTCAGAGTTTGGTGATAAAGATAGAATATAGCTTGATGTAGATAGGGTCAAATAAATTCATCTCCTTTAGAGTTGGTGGCTACCTTGGCTATATAATTTGCTCTAATTTTCCTAGCGGCAGTTGCAAAGAGTGCTACACACCAGGTCACATACTTATCTGTGTCTGCAAGGAGATATAAAATCATGTCAGAGGGGTTCTGGCCAGGGGACCTTGTCATTATAGGTGCTAAAGTTCTTTGTCGTTTGAAATGTGAGCACTGAACATCACTTGATCTTTGACTTTGGCGAACAATGTCTTCCATCACTGCAAAGGTATTGTTGTAGGAAGAAATAAGGAGGGTGGGAGGGGAGGGGTGGGGTGGCTATTGTATTTGTATTATTTCTGTGTTTTATACACCCAATAAAATCCCTTTTTTTTCTCCTTTTGGAAACATGGCTAGCTGAAACCCTCCTTTGGTTGAGCACTCTCTGGAAAGGTAAAGGTAAAGGGACCCCTGACCATTAGATCCAGTCGTGACCGACTCGGGTTGCGACGCTCATCTCACTTTATTGGCCGAGGGAGCCGGCGTACAGCTTCCGGGTCATGTGGCCAGCATGGCAAAGCCGCTTCTGGCGAACCAGAGGAGCGCACGGAAATGCCGTTTATCTTCCCGCCAGAGTGGTACCTATTTATCTACTTGCACTTTGATGTGCTTTCGAACTGCTAGGTTGGCAGGAGCAGGGACTGAGCAACAGGAGCTCACCCCGTTGCGGGGATTCGAACCGCCAACCTTCTGATCGGCGAGCCCTAGGCTCTGTGGTTTAGACCACAGCGCCACCCATGTCCTGCACATTTGCCCAAAAATACTGCAGATGTGATAAGCAATTGGGTGAGGACCACAGTTGAAAGGGGGCCAAGATAGCTGTTTTGTCTGACTCCCCAATGGGCTCCTCTGATGTGGGCATCAGGGCTACCCATTCACAGCGTTCGTCTTCTTTTGCAGCTATTGCCACATAACAACCTATTCTTCACCAGCAGTTTCCAGGCTCCCTCTGCTGAACTTCCTCTGCCACAGCAGGCAGGATGCATTGCATCAGCACAGAGGCCTTCTGCCACTCCCCCTGCTGGCCAGGTGACGCCACAGCAGACCCTATTTGGCCAATATGCTCCAGCACCAGCCTCTGGCACCACCTGCCGGTCTACTTCACCAACAGCAGGCTCTGCACTCTCAACCGGGAAAAGGGTGGCACTGTGGTCTAAACCACTGAGCCTCCTGGGCTTGCTGATCAGAAGGTTGGCGGTTTAAATCCCCGCAACGGAGTGAGCTCCCATTGCTCTGTCCCAGCTCCTGCCAACCTAGCAGTTCGAAAGCACACCAGTGCAAGTAGATAAATAGGTACCGCTGCGGTGGGAAGGCAAATGGCATTTCCGTGCGCTCTATCTTCTGCCACGGTGTTCCATTGTGCCAGAAGCGATTTAGTCATGCTGGCCGCATGACACGGAAAGCTATCTGTGAACAAACGTCGGCTCCTTTGGCCTGAAAGCAAGATGAGCACCACAACCCCCTAGTCACCTTTGACTGGACTTAACCATCCAGGGGTCCTTTACCTTTCTGCACTCTCAATCTTTCCCTCCTGCTGATCATTGTAGTCCACAAGTGCTGCCTCTGTCTTCTGTTCAAATCCAGGAGGCATTTCTGGAGTCTATTGAGCAAGGACTGCTGTCTCCCTCTGATTCCTCAGACTAGGAGGAAGTGGGTTCTCCTTGTTGACATTTCCATTCCACCTTAAGGAGCAGATGTGTGGAAGTGTTGCGTGTCACATGTCTGTTTACATTCCAGCACAGCTTGCTGGGAACTTCCGTTGTGTATAGCTTTTGCTTTTTCTGTTCTCTCTGAGACGACATGAGAGAGAGAGACATGTTTCTTTGTCCTGATTTATGATTGGTAAATATGTAGTTGTAGTATGCTTCCACAAGCCTCATGCCTATTCTGTGTGCGCAGTTTGATCTGCTGATAGTGTGCCTTGGCTCAGAAGCCCCGGTCGCTGATTTACGTCAGAGCAGAGGGGTGATGGTCTTCGCAGCGGGACAGCTGGAAAGAGACGGCCCAGCCGGGGCTAGCCAGCTGGCCTCCCGGCCCTCTGCATGTCGATACTCCTAACCTTTTTGCATACCCTTCAAGTGTCCCAATTTTCCAGGGGCAGTCCCAGAATTACGGAGGCCACCCCGGCTTCCAATTTGATCCTGGGATGCCCTATTTGCCCCACCAGCACCAACGCTGAGCTCAGGGAGGAGGATGAGTTTGCATTTGTCCAGAGTGGTGGCAGCAGTGGCAGCTGGAAGCTAACACCCCGTTGCCTCTCCCTGGCTTCTCCACGGCCACCACTGCTAGCGTCCTCCCTTGGGCAGCTCGAAGTGGCTGTTGGAGAGCAGGCAAGGAGGAGGAGAGGCTGTTGCCACTGGGACGCAGCCCCGTGTGATGCACCTTCTCTGAGATGCAGGCAGAGGGCACGGCTGGAAGAAAGGGGGAGCCGAGCGCAAGGAGTCTTGATTGCTTAAAAAAAAAAATGCTTTGTGCATCTGTGTCTAATCCTGCCTCTTTCTAAAATTTATTTTTTGGTGTGTGTTTTTCTTTTTGTAAATCCACCAAAGAGTAAAATAAAATAACACAGGGATTAAGGGTTTTTCTCAGAACAGTGGAGGGTATGTGTGCTGTGTACCTTTGGTGTCACCTTTCTTCAGATAGGAAATGCTCTGCCTGGGGGCACACACACACACACACACACAAAAATGCAGGCGTCATGGAGGGTCAGTTGTGGGGGAGCAAGAAATGTGCTTCTTTTCATCTGAGGAATGTTGGAGGGTAAGCTTCTGATGTTCCCAGGAACAGGCTTGCAGTCCTTCTCCACATCATGCTGATCTAGGCAAAAATGCACCCATTTATTAATCCTGAGTGTTCTGAGTGGGTGTCTTTAGGGTGCTGTAACAATCATAAAAGTTATTACAGTCATACCTCGGGTTGAATGCGCTTCAGGTTGAGCGCTTTCGGGTTGTGCTCCGCAGCAACCTGGAAGTAACGGCGTGCATTACTTCCAGGTCTCGCCGCTCGCGCATGCGCAGACGCTCAAAGTGACGTCACACGCATGCACGGAAGCGTCAAAATGCAACCCACACACGCGCAGACACGCCGTCGCGTCTTACGTTCTATTCAGGATGCGAA